TAGACCCCAAGTTCTGTGGGATCCCAGTAGCAGTGTGAGGAAGCACCTCGCTGTCCCCGTCCAGACCCCTAGGGAACACTCCAGGAACTCGTTCACAGTGAGCCCTTAGAGGCCCGCGTAAACAGTGGAGGGCATCTTGGTCATGAAAGGTGACCACTTGGGTTTCCCCAACCTGATGACTGACTCGGCAAAGGAGAGTGTGCTCTGGACCCAAGTGAGGACAGGTGTCCGTTTCCACCTTGGTGACGCGTCAGTGTTTCCTCCTAGCCACAGCTTTCTTGTTTGTAGAACAAAGAATTTTTAGACAGAACCTGAGCCCATTCATAAGCTGTAAGATCACTGTTTCCCCACGGGGTGAGGGGACGGGGGGAGGTGTGTGTGCCCGGGCAGGGCTGTGTCCAGCCTGGCTGGTCAGGGAGGATTACCTCATTGTCCTTTCTGTGAGTGTGTGCCTGGGGAGAGCCCCAGACCAGCAGGGCTTCTCAGGTGACAGGTTAATTATTCCTTGTATTAAAACGTTTTCGCCTTGGAATCCATCCAAGCTGCAAGGAATAAGCCAGGTTATCTTTTGATCATACACCTGTGTTAACTTTAATCAGTTGCATATTCCTGGAAATCTGCCGCTGAGGAATGCAGACTTGCCACAGTGTGGATACACAGCACTTAGCTTGGATGCATTTGTCTCTCCAGAAAAACAAAATAAACATTTAAGGAGAAAACATGTTTAGTGACCAAGAGGCACAGGTTTCGACCACACTCCAGCAGTGGAGTTCTCAACAAGATGGTGTACTGAAACTGAGGCTCCTGTCCTGATTCTCGTTGGCCACTGACATGGACATGGTCGCATTCCTGTCTTAGTGGCTCAGAAAGCTCGTGGCAGCCTGCTCTGACGGATGCTCCTGCACACCCCGAATTCCCCAGTTGCCATGAGTTCCCCAGTTCTTCACTCTGGCATATCCCTGTTCTTCTGCTAGAAGCTGGCGTTTATGGACGTCTTTCTGGATAGTTCCCTTCTAGTTGAAGGGCACCTCCCCGAAATAAGACCCCTCTGCTTCTGTCCTAGGATGGTTACTTAACAGAACACTGTAACAATGAACAGCTAGGGGGCATGGCTGGAGATACCACTTGCCAGCCAGGTTATGAAATGAGCATCCTATCACTGGCTACGCATGTTTGCATGTTTGTCTGTGTAGGAAAACCATGCTTGAATGACTCTGTTACCTTATGTAACTCTGCCAATGTTTTCCAAAGGTTTTAAATGCAAAAAAAAAAAAGAAGAAGAAGAAAAAGATGCACCAATGTTCTTTCTTGAATCACTGAACATGCATTCAGGCTCAGCCAGACATATTCCGATTGTTTATAAACAGAAAAGTACATGAGTCTCTGCACTGAATTTGTCAGGGTTTCTTTTGCATAAAATGTACACATTAGCGTACTGCTATCCAGGTCCACCTTTGTGTTTGAAATCCAAGTCAACGATGGTTGGTGGTGATGATGAGGTCTTGAAACATCTCCCTCCATGTTCATGGGGCCTTGGCCTCTCTTGCACAGCCAGGGCTGGTGATAAGTCACCACGCAGACCACACCTTGAGTAGCTTCTGTCAGTGGCAGTCGGGATTGATGGGGAAGGACGGGACCCGCCATGACCACGCCATCCTACTGACCGGCCTGGACATATGCTCCTGGAAGAACGAGCCCTGTGATACTCTAGGTAAGACCCTCCAGCAGAGGCTGTGGGCCATGTGGGGTATGCCCTTCCGTGGACCGTGTGGGTGCTGAGGGTTTCTGCCCTGCCCACATCCACAAGCCGCAGCTACTGCTGAGCCTGATTGTGGGGAAAAGACACCTTCCCTGCACAGCTGGGCTCAGTCCTGAAGCAGGCTCTTGTTCATCCAAGATGAAGGTCGCTCAGAGTTTGACTCTCCATCTCTTCTGATGTGGGACATAATTTTTTTCCATTTTTTCTAACACACATGAGAATGGGCTAATAGATCCAAGTTATACACAGAAGATCTCACTAAGCAGCAGAAACAGCACATTTATGAATATTTATAAAGATAGCATAAGATACTGTGCTCTTCATTTTCCCTTTTCTCTGTCAATATCTCAGTCTTAGCAAGTTAGCAAGCTTTAGTTATTTCTAAGGCTGGGTACAACCCAGAGGCAGGCTTTGTAAGGCAGTGGGCCCCTAACTCCAACACTCTGGAACCTTCTCTTACTCTCTTTCCTCCCCTGGTTCTCAGAGGAATGCTTTTTGTTGGAAAATCTCTCGGGCAGGATTCTGTCCAGCACAGGTTTATCCTAGTGTCCCCACAGTGGCCTAACTGCTTGTCCTTTGAAGGGGACCTGCTTACAAGGCTGGCCCTTGGCTGTCCGTAGAACACTTGCCACAGTCCGGCTGCAGCAGAATAACCTGGGGGTGACAAATAACTTCTGTAGATTGATACAGCAGGAATAGGAGCCGTTTATTGTAGGACAACAGAGCTATTTATACATTTTGCACAGCTTATCTTAATTAGCATAAACTAGATACATCAGTCAACCAATAAGGAATCTCCACACTTAATGGCTCACTTTTGTTACTTCTCGAACCACTCCCTCTGGCATTTTGCCAGGCACCATCCAGACTTGTTTACGAACTCTAACATTTCTCTGGCAAAATACCAGGTGTTATTTTGACTTGTTTACAGACCTTAACATACACTCAGATTTTAGGGTGGTCCTTAGCACTCCACCTAGGAGAGTGGCCCACTGTGCCCTCACCATGGCCTGTGCCTACCCTGCTTTCCTTCTGGGAGTCTGCAGTGGTCCATGTCAGGCATGGTGCCCCATGACCAGCCTCCAGTAAACCCTGGAGGCTGAGCGCCACTGAGCCTCCTAGCTGCTGGACAGCACCTCACACTGGTGGTCACACTCACTGCTGGGGAGATAAGCTGTGTCCCCAGGGGGGAAGGGTCTCAGAAGTTCACCCCGGTTCCCAGACTCTGCACCACGTGACTTTTCCCTTGGCTGCTTTTGATCTGTCTCCTTCTGCCGTAATCCGCAGCTGTGATGAGCCAGAGCCCCATCAGAAGTGAGAGAATCACGGAACAGGAGTGGGTTTGGGGCCTCCCGTCACACCTGTTCTCCACGGGCTCTTCCAGTGGCTTTGTGAACCCAGGTGTAATAGAGAAACACAGTAAACCCTCTTCTGTTTGGCCCCAGTTACAGCCTGTGCCAGGAGCATGGCCTAGAAACATGAGCCGTCTTCCATGGGACGGAGTCCTTGGGCTCCCAGGTAGACCACTTGCCCACATTCCCACACACGGTCACATCCCTCCACGACTGTCCAAGGGTGGTCCGTTTCATGGTTCCCCAAATGAAGGTGAGGACCAGATTGTATCATAGGGCAGAAAATAGATATTTACTTACTCTTTATATGGCAACACTGGCATAGATTGTCTCAATCTTTTGCCCCATAGGATTTGCGCCCATAAGTGGAATGTGCAGTAAATACCGCAGCTGTACGATTAATGAAGACACAGGACTGGGACTGGCCTTCACCATCGCCCACGAGTCTGGACACAAGTAAGCCCATCTCTAGGGAGGGTGCAGCCCGGGGCCTTTCCTAACTGGGTGATCACTATAGGGTTACCAGTGCATGAAATCATGTCTCTAGAGGGAGTTCACATGCAGACTGTGAGATGTCAGTTGTAAAATGCTGTCATTAGACACCCAACTTCAGTGTTGCAACTGGTTTTGAACTGAGGTGGCATCTCATTGCACCAGGAGGCTCGGTCTAGCTGGACAGGGTCCTGGGCAAGTGGCTCTCAACAAGGGTGCTGTGACGCTGGCGTCCTCTTTGTACATGAAAACCTTACACTTACACCTGTAAAATGGGGAGGGGGGAAGTCTAGCAATTACTTATGGCAGCTGTGAGTCCCAGGTAAGCTTTCTTGGTCTGATATTGCTGTAGCTGATTAACTTTATGGATCTGTTCATTAAAAGGGTTGAAGGGTCCCACTTGCAGTCCAAGCAGCCAGGGTTTCCTACAGGTGACCTCATGAGCACACAGGCCAGGAGTGGGGTGTAGATAGTGTCCTATGTATTGAAACTGTATTGGAATTCAGCCCAGAAAATTGCCTAAACATTTCAATTTTTTTTTTCTTTTTCAATTTTAAGCTGATTTTACTGGCAAAAAAAAAAATCAAAGGGGGTGTTTGTGATTTGTGTTTCTGCAAAGCTAACTTTTCTATCCCCTGTTGAAAAATAGACTAAGTCACAGACTCATGTTACCCACACCCATTCAGGCGTGTGTGTGTGTGTGTGTGTATGTGTGTGTGATGTGTGCATGTGTTGTATAGGGTGTGTGTGTGTGGTGTGCAGTATGTATTGTGTGCATGTATTGTGTGTGTTGTGTACAATGTGTGTGTATTATGTGCATGTGTCATGTGTGTGGTGTGTGTATTGTGTGCGTGTGTTGTGTGTGATGTGTGGTGTGTATGATGTGTGTATTGTGTGCATGTGTTGTGTGTGTATTGTGTGTAGGGGTGTGGTATGTATATTGTGTGTGTGGTGTGTGTGGTATGTGGTGTGAGTGTATTGTGTGCATGTGTTGTGTGTGTGGTGTGTATGTTGTGCATGTATTGTGTGCATGTGTTGTGTGTGGTGTGTGTATATTTTGTGTGGTGTGAATGGTGTGCGGTGTGTGTGGTGTGTGGTGTGTGCAGTGTGCGTGTATTGTGTGCGTGTGTTGTGTGTGGGGATGTGGCATGTGTATTGTGTGTGTGTGTGGTGTGTGGTGTGTGTGCGTGTGTGTTCACATTTATGCACACACGTGTGACCTCTGTCTGTGGAACTACATGGGGCTCTGCAGCTTAGACTCCATGTGACCTGAAAATGATGCTCCATATCCCATTACTGATCCCTTTATCATTAGAGGTAATGATTGACTATTTCATTGCCTAGAAAATTACACCTATACTCTATAAGGCTTTCAGTTAAATCATAATTGTATTTTTAATAGTCTGCTAGAGTAAAAACTTCAAAAACTTTCATTATTGTAACGACACGAGGATCTTGCTGTCCTCTGAACCATACCTGAATTTAATTAAACTATCAAGGCAAGAAATATTGAAGTCACCCGGACTGAGCCGTCAGCGTTTGACAAGCGGTTGAGATGTGGGCGCTGACTGTGCAGGCTGTTGCAGGAGGTGAAGCTGACTGACGCGAATCTGGATGCCTCTAACAGGGCTCTCCATCCCCATGTCCACAAGGACCAGAGTCGGCCAATTGTCAGTAGTTCCTTTCCTCACTCAGCCTGCCCATATGGCTGAAGAACTTCCTTGAAATGAGAGAAATGTAGATCACTTGAGAGTGGGATTGCAGGTGGGTGGGAAGGATGGAGAGTGATGGGAGATGACCTCCAGAAGCGACCCCGTCCTCTGGACCAGCGGCAGTTCAGAGGACACTGCAGGAGAGAGACCAGAGCTCTAAGAGCCAGTGTTGTCAACGAAACAGCTTCTGCTCATGCCGAGAAAACAGGAAATGTGTGTTTTGGGCATAAGCTAAGTACACAAACCAGTGATCGCTGTTATGATAATAGTAGTAGCAGATATGATGGCAATACCTGTTTTGGATCAGGCAACTTTTGTAAAATTTGTGGAGCAATTTCACAGACAACTCAAACTGAGGAAACCACTTAGGAAAATCTCTTAAACTGCTTTCCCCAACTGAGGGGTCCAGGCTGAGTATCCAGCAAGTGTGTGTGTGTGGAATGGGGGTGAGTGAGCCAGAATGTGAGCGGGGAGGGGGACAAATGAAGGGTGGAGCTTTAGGTCTGACAGCTCCAAATGAGAAAGGCCACAGCACATGACATCAGTAATAAACGTCACACATTTTACTTTAATTGACTTGAAGACAAGCACATTTATTGCATTCACGTATTTTATTCTATTTCTTGAGGAAGGAATTTCAGGTTTGATGCAGGGATCAGATGCCTTGGCACAGACATTGTGCCTTTACCATATCTTTGGCAAGGAGCTCCAAGGAGGGTCAAATTTGAATTCCACATGTTGAGGGTTAAAAAGTAATTTTTTATCTATTAGGACTTTTGCTGTGGAAGACGCATGAATGTCTTGGTTCAGAGGTGACAGCCATGTCTTGGGTCCTGTTCCTGATGGAGCATGTATCTAGCTTCACACTCGATGCTCTCTCACCTTCAATGCAACTCAAGGAAGGATCGTAGTTTATGCCCATCCACTTTCTTCTAAGTTGTTTTCATCCACCACCTACTTGCCCTTCATACTGGGGAATCGGACCTAACAATAGAAATTGTCCAGAACAGGTGGTTTGAAGAGACTGGAGCCAGAATCCAGATATGCACTCTGCTCCAGTACAAGGCGATGAACCAGGATTGCTGAGTGAACACGGTTCAAGGAGAGTTTTCTAGTTATATTAAATATCTTGAAGCAGGGCATAGAGTTTGCTAGAAGTGGTGTTGAAAATCACACAGATGCACAGAGGGCAGAAGGCACCTGTTGAAGAGTGTGTCTGGACACAAGTCCATTGGAGAATTCCCTTTGCTAAGAGAAGTCATACCATTTGGTGGGCAGGGCACAGATTCCAGACTCATCGGTTCTATCATTTGGGGGCTGGGGCCTCCAAGAAAAGTGAGATGGCATGAAGGCCCCCCTCCAAACCCCAAATCTTGCAATCAAATCAGAATGATTTCAGGCATGTCACTCAGAGTCATGGGAACAAGTTTATTGAAGTGATAGGATCACCTGAGTGGTAACTGGAGGCAGGTGGGGTGTGGCTGGAGGAAGTGGCTCATTGGGGGTGTGGCTGTAGGGCATGTATTTTGGATCTGGAGAGTGGAGTCTCTCTCTGCTTCCTGATCATCATGTGAGCTGCTTCCCTCTACCTCCCTCTTCTGCCATGAGCCCCGGGGAATGGAGTCTGCTCTCTATGGACTGAGACCTCTGAAACCGTGAGCACCCAAATAAATTTTTTCTCCTCTATAGTTGTTCTGGTAAAGTCCTTTAGTCACAGCATTGAAAAGGCTGATTTACAGGGCCTGTATTTCTCCTGTAGTTTGCAGAGAAGTGAAACATATCCTGCCAACTAAACCAGGATGGGCTGCAAGTAAATTGCTTTTCAAAAGTGAAAGCAGCTTGGGAAGCTGAGACAGGATTTCAAGTTCAGAGTCAGCCTCAGGGAAAAAAAAAAAAAAAAAAGAAAAAAGTGAGTCTTGAAGCAACTCAGTGAGACCCTGTCTCTAAATAAAATACAAAAATAGGGCTGGGGATGGGGTTCAGTGGTTAAGTGCCCCTGAGTTCCATCCCTGGTACCAAAAAAAAGAAAAAAAAAAGTGAAAGCATGTGGAGTCAGCACCATAGGCCCAGACTATAAAATTATTCCCTTAACTTGATGTTCCCACCATGCCCTCTGTCTGCCCCTGTCACTATCAGAGCTCACAGAGCATCACCCATCAGCTTTTACATGGGCTTGCCATCTGCAATCAGGAGAGCCCCGGGAGCTCCCCGCCTCGTGTGTCCGTGCAGTATGAACCATACTAGCTGAGCTGCACATGTCCGTTTTACAGAGTAGGCTTCAAGGGTTACCCTGTGCTGCCATCTCAGACCACAAAGACACCACCAAAGCGTGATTACCGTGCTGAGAGGATGCGTGGTCTTCCAGGCCCGGCTCCCCTGAACCTGCGCACCCAGTCACTGGGCACAGTTTGCATCTGCCCACAGGGCATTGTGTAGGAATCTATTGAAAAAGCAACCCGTGCCCTCCCGAATTCTAAGAAAGAAGACAAAGTAGACAGGCTATGCGAGGGTTGGAGTAAAGAGGGGTGTGGGCATTGCAAGAGGTCATGCTGGGACAGTCAGGGAGCACTTGGAAGAAGCAGCGTGGGCAGGCAGCCCCAATGCTGGGTGATGAGATGGTGCAGCTCAGTCGCACTCCCTAGGGATGGTAGATGACGTTGGGGTGTTAGGGGGTGATGGGCATCCCACCTGTTTATGACCGCGCTCTGCCACCACCCTGGGACAAGGAGGTGCTTGGTGACTTTAAGGACCTGTAGAAGACTGGAGCAAGCTGGCCCCAGCTCCATCATCTGGAGCCCTGGCCGACCAAGGGCTTCAGCTCTTACCAAGTTTATTTATCACTGTTCCTCTTGAAAGTTCTTGTTTCTGTATCCAAAAAGTATTTGAAGTCCATTGGGTCCCCCCCAATACATACATACACATATATACACCACGTGTGCATGAGTGACTTCCACATGTCGAGGCATGTGACCAAGACCATATTCGAAGCAAGACAAGGGACAGAAGTTCTGAATTTTCCTCTGTGAAGTTCACAGTGCTGGGCATGCTGTACAGTTTATGTAGACTTTATAATTTGGCATCTGAGGAAACTGAAGCCCAGGGGCTAAACAATTTACCTGTTATCAAACAGCTTGTGCATGACAGAGACGAGACCCTCCAGTCCGCAGTCTGCAGGTGTCTGCCACTCCCGGCTGCTCTCTCCATCTCAGCCTCCTGCCCCTCTTGAGGACGAGCTACACCATGCATGACGCCCATGCTGGGCCCTCCCCCAGAACACCATCATCACTCCAAGGGTGGAGTGAGCACCCTGATGACACTGAGCTCCTCTGAAGGTGTCCCCATTCCCTAACGGTGCTCTCTAACAGCTGAAAGAGTCGGTGCGCACTCTGCCACACGGGTCTGCTCATCCTGCTCTACCATTAGAAATGCAAAAAATATTTGCTGATAATAATTAGTTCATTCAAGAAAGCATCGTGGAAAACATTAAACATATCCAAGTATCAAAATGAGTATCATTTTCAAAGTCTAATCTGAAATTCAGTTTGTGCCCAGCATTTGAGTTAGTGTTACAGCCAGAAAGACTGTCTTGTTGGTCACCATGGAGAGCCTGCCGTGAGCCCTGGAGCCCTGGCAGTGGAGCTGAGGGCACGGGAGAGGGTCTCGGCTCTTCCCAAATTAACAGATTGGTAAAGGATGAAGGAAGGAAATCTGTTTTATTATTTTAAGCATGGGGTGATAACCACTTAACTAAAGTGTTCTGATGCACAGGAGCAAATAAAATGATCTAGCATGTATACCTTCAGTAGTAATTTTTTTTCCCTTGGTTGACAAATACCAACCTCATCTTCCAGATGTGTTCTGTTCACATTAATGTCAATATGAGATATGACCGCGGTGGTATTTTTATGCTGACTTACTGGCGTTCATCGTGTCTGTGCATGGTATACTGAGGGACAACGCAACTTATGAAATAGTGATGCTGGGTGTGTAAGAAGCCAAGTGCCAGATCCTGACCCCTACCCTGCTGCATCAGAAGCCACCAGAGCGGCTGTGGTCAGCCACATTGTGCAGTGCATCTCAGATCTCTAACGCACTGCAGAGTTTGAAGAATCACGGAAAATGCCTTTAATGAGAAAGCTTAAAACCAAGGTGTCCGTAGACCTAGGCCTCGGCACTCTCAGTTCCTTAGAAAGGTAGGCGCGGTGGAGTGGGTCTTTCTAGGCAGTTGCTGGACCACGTGGCATCTTCTTCCCCAGCAGGTGGAGGGCCAGCCAGGGCGGGGTGGGAAGCATTTCCTCCCAGGGCCGCCTCCCAGCTGGGATTTGAACCCAGCTCCTTTGCTCAGCCATGACACATTTCCCCTGCCACAGGGTCTCCTTGGCCCTGATGAATCGCCTTTAATAGAGCTTCAGAGAATGGGCGGAGGCTGGAATGACCACATCCGCATCACCCTCAGAACTGGTCGGAGTTTTGCAGAAATCCCACAGTACTTGCAGGCCACATCTCCTTGGAGACACTCTTCTGTCCTGCTCAGGTCTCACCACTGCCTGTCCAGCAAGGGCCCTGACCTCCTGGTGTCTGATCTCAGGTCTTCACTCTGCACCTGGACAGGGCCTCTCTCCAGTCCTCAGCCTTGCTGACCTGATAGTGCACCCACCTGTGGGGTGTGGTGAGGGTTGAAGGTAGAAAATGTGTGTCATGTGCTTGACATGGTGCCTGTGCCCCAGTGGGTGTCCGAGAATGTTATTTTCGCTCCTATTATCATGCAGTGCTAAGTGGAACAGCTCAGTGGACCAAGGAGTTCAGTCTTAGCCACAAGTGCAGAGCCTCTTGTCCCCAAGTGGGGCCACTTCCCCTGCGGGCGTTTCCTGGCCCCGCCCTTCCCTCCCCTCTTCAAGGATCTGGGCCTCAGAAAGCCCCCAGATCCAGCGGCGCCTTGTCCGTCCTCGTTTTTCTCTCTTGCCTTTCTTTTTTCTCTGTGTCTCACTTAGTCAGGACCCTGTGCTCAGGGAGTTCCACAACGACTGGTTAGGAGACATCAGTGCCAGTAATGGCTTGGCTGTCCTTCATGGAGGTCCCAGACCCCCTGCCTTGCTCCCCAGGCAGCATGCCGGGGTCCTCTGGGAGAGGTGACCATGGCAGCACAAGGCTGTCCAACCAGGAAACTCTGGGAGGTCAAGCGGGAGTAGGCTCATGGTAACAGGAGGCTGCAGCTCCGGTCAGTGTGGCCCTGATCTGTGGCCACTGCAGTTGAGCTGCCCCCGGGGCTGGATCCCTGGTCTGGTCTCACTCAAGAGTAATAGGAGCAGCTTCAGGAAATGTCTGCAGATGAATCCACCATATTCACCCTTTTGTGTTCTGGGGAGAAGCCCCTCCAGAGGGAGGAGAGACGTGGGTCAAGGAGTCACGTCCTGCCCAGCGCCACCCCACAGCCTGGTCTTGGCATGAGAAGGAGGCACACAGGGTGGCTGTGGAGATGGAGTGCGAGTCCCTTGACCAGAGCAGCAGGGGCTCAGTCTTCCTCTAGTTGCATTCAGCACCACACACTCCGGGGGAGCTTACTTGGCAACCTCAGATACCTGGATGGCTCTTCCCCAGGTCAACAATTCCTGGCTGGGAGCCTGTTTTTTGCATTTTCTAATGTTCTTAGAAATTTGGACAGTCCCAGTGATCAAAGAGTGCAGAGAGAAGGAAGCAAGATTGACCAGTGTTAGATTTATCAAGTCACAACAAACTGTCCTTCCCACAGGCGTGAAATGCTCCTTTTTAAAACATCTACCCTCAGCGGGCACCTGGGCACTTGCCCTGATTGGATGCCCATGCATGCTTTTGATCACTCCAATGAACGGTCTACTCTTCAGAACAGAAGAGACCCGTGCACTCCCAGGCCACGTTGGCTTCTGCCTTGGCCTGCCTTACTTGAAGCTTGTGGGAGGATTCACAGTCAGACTTGGGATTGTTGGAGTACATTTGATACTTGAAACTGCACTATGCTCTGAAGAGCCACCTCTCTCTCTCTCTCTCTCTCTTTCTTCCATAGCTTTGGCATGGTCCACGATGGAGAAGGGAACATGTGCAAAAAGTCAGAGGGCAACATCATGTCCCCCACGCTGGCAGGACGCAACGGAGTCTTCTCCTGGTCTCCCTGCAGCCGCCAGTACCTGCACAAGTTTTTAAGGTATGAGCGCTTGCACCAACTGTGTCACCTCCCTGCACCCTTGGTGGTCACTCCCTGCTCAGCCTCCTGTGCATGCAGCTCGGGTAGGTTTGTGGGCCTGGGCTCCTCCCAAGGTGTCTTGAGATTCAGCTGACCATGGAGTTGACTAGACACTTTGTTACAGCATGAAGGTCTGACAGCCAATCCCAGGCTGATCTTGAGACTTCAAGGAAGTCCACGTAGCATCAATCACACCAAGGCATTTGTCAGCATTTGATGTTTTGGAAAGTTTTCTTACTTTTATAAATAGGCATCTTCAATCGATTAATAGGGAAATATCAATCGTGTGTGGACAGGTTCCCAACAGTGAGTAAGAATAATTGGCTAGCTTTTAGAGATGAATCTGCTCTCCTTTATTAATAGTCTAGCATCAGGCAGATGGGAAAAAAAAATACATGAAGAGAGAACCCAGTTGGCCTGAAGTTGTCAGCACAACTTGACTCCATTCTTGTAGAGTCATGAGGACAAATACTTATTTGGAGTAAATTCATCAGCCCACTCAATGAATTCCTATGTCATTTTCTGTTACCAGACACAAAAATCATCACGATTGCTCATGTCTGCAGCTGGGAGGTCCATGACAGGGAAATTTTAGCTTCTTATTTCACAATTCATGACAACATGGCCTCTCTTTACTTTAAAAATAATTAAGCATGTTCCTGTGTCCAGTGGAAACAGTGCGCTCAGTCCTCAGCTTGCTCGGCTGTGTGAACTCCACCTTCAGGAAGGCAAGCGAGTCACAGCTGGTCCTGGTTTCTGCAGAGCCCGTGCAACTCTGAGGCTGGAGAGGAGCACCGCCATGTAGTGGGGAGAAGCAGGGGGGAGCCCAGGAGCTGAGCACGTCTTCATCCCTGGAAGGGGGCTCCTTAACAAATAGTGCCTCCTTCTCAGAAACCTCCTCTTCTTACTTGGAAAATGATGAGCTAGCACCAAATCATCTCTCAAGTTCTTTATAAAATAGTGGACATTTAACGTGCTCCTGACCTTTGCCAGATGTGGTGTTGATATTTCTCACTTTCGTCATGTTGTGGGGTGTGCACTAGCAGCTTAAGGTGGTGATTAATGAGGGCAAATACCATTTTAACATGTCTAATGGCCACTTGACAAACCTCTTTGGTAGAGTGCCTGTTCAAATCTCTTGAGCATTTAAAAAACTGAGGCCTTCTTTTCCTTATTTCTTTATACACCCATGAACATTTTGATCCATCCTAGAATCTATGGAACATAAACATCTCTCACTCTGAGGCTTCCTACTTGCTCTTCCGGTGTAGTCTTTTGATAGGCGGGGGGTTTTCATTTTCCTTGTGGAGTCTGAATCATCTATATTTTCTTTAGGGTTGATACTTCCTATAAGCCACTGAGAAAAGATGTCTTCTCATTCCAAAGTCTTAAATATAGTTTTCCAAGTAATCTCCAAGTTTTATTGCTTTGCATGTCACATGGATGCTACTGAATATTGTGTGTCAGGCATATAGCAAAGTCAAAATTCATTTGTCCAAATGAATGTTGTGGTAGATAGTTTGTAAATGATCAAATGACTTTCCTTTGGCACCCATTCTGATGGGATGAGAGTTCCTGTGGCGTCACAGCCTCATCAACAGCTGATGCTGTCAGGGTTCTGGATTCCAGCCATCTTGGTAGGTGTGCAGGGGAACCTCACTGAGAGTTTACATAGCAATTCCCTAATCTCCCACAATGTTGGACATCTTTTATATGCATGTCATCTGTGTATATTCTTTAACAAAGTGTCTATTCAGAGCTTTTCTCTCTCTTTGAGTTTTTGTTTTGTCTTATTTTCTTATTATTGAATTTTAAGTGTTATTTATATATTTTATAACAATCCTTTATCAGGTGTGACTTTTGGAAGTATTTTCTCCCAGTCTGTGGCTTGTCTTCTCATTTCCTTGTTAGTGTTTTTCACGGAACAGAAGTTTTGATTTTAATAAAGTCTAGCTTATCAAGTATTATCAAGTATGCCTTCGGTATTGTTAAATCTTAAAAGGACATCAAGATCATGGAGATCATGGAGGCGTTCTTCTATGTCATTTCCAAAGGTCTTATAATTTTACACTTTATATTAAGTCTATGATCCAATTTTGGTGAAAGGTGTACAGTCTAGTTTCCTGTAATTGTATAGGTTCTCTCCGTTTTATATTGAGGCTAAAGAGACAGTCTTAGTTAGTTTCCCTATGGGGCATGAGGTATGGACCAAGCTTCTTTTCTTCATAAGCTAGTCCAATTTTTTTCAGTACTATCTAATGCAAAGGACAGATTTCCTTTTCTCAATTAGATTTGCAACTTCGTCAGAAACTTAACTGATCTGTGGCGCTGCTGTCTTTCTGGAATTCCCATTCTGTTGTGTTGATGTGTGTGTCCTTTTGCCAAGATGACAATGGCTTGTTCACCAGAGCCTCACTGTAAATCTTGAAATCAGGTACTGTGAGCCTCTAAAGTCTCCAGATTTTTCTTTTGGCATGGAGATGTCCAGTTGACCTGGCAGTGTTTATGGAAAGCGCGTCGTCCCTTCCTCCTTCTCTTGCCTTCCTCCCAGGTCAAGAATCAGTGGCCGGGTGTATGTGGGTCTGTTTGGGCTCTCCCTGATCTAGGTGTGCCCTTCCACTGGCTCCACGTTTTCCTGGTACCGTGGCTTCTCCGAGAGTCTTGTGTTGGGCAGGGTCAGCTCTCCAGCTGCATTCTCCTTCAGCGCTGTGAGAAGAGTTCTGGGTACTTAGCCTCTCCTTGTGGGCTTTAGAATCAGTCTGTACATCTACAAAATAACTTGATTGAATTTTGTTAATAAGTTTTCGCCAGTTTTAGGTTGGGAGGTATTGAAATTTATTGAAAGGATTTAGTTGCTATTTGCAATCATAGAAACTTTCAAATATCACCCTAAAATGCACATATTACTCCCAAATCATCCTGGTAGGGAATGTAATGCTCCATTTGTGGAGGAAGTGAGCATTAGTTGGTCTTTAGCCATCTACTAGTGAACTTCACTCGAGTTAGATTCCTTCTGGATTGGAAGGTCTGGGCAGAAATCCCCTGTACATAGACATTTGCTAGTGGAAATGTGGTCTTCCCTGAAGGTCCTCTAGAAGGTCTAAGGTATTACACAGACTGTTCCCTGCCTAAAAGATAAGAGGGGAGGCATAAAGGAAAGGAAGAAATTCCAGACTGAAATAGTCTCATTGCATTTTGGTTTTTACAGTGCCTGGTTTCGTCTTTTGATGGTTTCTGGCAAGAAGTGTACATAAAAGATTTTGTTATAGGAACTTCTCACATTGAACATCTGGTTTTAATTATTCAGTTACACTTTTCCCCTTGATAAGTTTGAGAAATCTAACAAAGAACAAATTGCCTTCTTGGAAAAGGTAAAATTTATTATTAATAACTCAGAAATGTGTGCTGCTGTGTTTAAATATGATCAGGATAAATGATATAATGAACCACAGGAAAAAAGTTTCCTTCTATGCAAAATAGTTTGCACAATTGCATGAGATAGAGATTCGGTTGATGGGACCACCTTGGTAACCCTCCCCAGTTGCCCATCTCTTCTTTGTTTCAGCACTACCCAAGCAGTGTGCCTTGCTGACCAGCCAAAGCCTGGAAAGGAATACAAGTACCCCGAGAAGCTGCCGGGAGAGTTATACGATGCAAACACACAGTGCAAGTGGCAATTTGGAGAAAAAGCCAAGCTATGCATGCTGGATTTTAAAAAGGCAAGTGATTATTGGCCAACGCTCAATGCAATATGATTCACAAAATCATTTTATTTAGTGTAACTGACATTGATGAATTCAGAATTTATTGGGTACCTACCAAATGTCAAACCCTCTGTGTGTTAGGGCTGGCCCCGCATAACAGGAAACACATGTTCTACTGGCAGAGAAGATGACAGTAGATACTGCTGTGGGTATCAGTTTTCATTTGAGAACCGACTGGGCCTGTTAGGTGGGATCTCTCTCTGATTTATCATGTGGGAGCTCCACAAGAACTTTTAGCTGGGGTAAGTCAGCAAATTAATATTCTGCATTTTTTTCAGATGATATTAAGAAAACAATGTTCCCTCTACTCCCTCCCTATATAAGATAATTTATTAGAAAGCAGCAGCCTATGCAGGGCTTCTGATTATTAAATTCCTCGAATAAAGTATTTATAGAGCAGTTTCTCATAAAAGATGGTGTCTACCCCAGCGACATCATTTCCTATAGAAATTCCTCATGTAACGCAGACACATGCTTTTGTTAAGCGGGGAAAATGGAGATTTAGGAGCCTGCTCTACTGGACCACAGAGAGCTTCTCAGAAATTAAATGAAAGTAGCTAGATTTGGGGTTTCTTCTATTCTAGTTTATAATGAAATCAAGAGAAAAATAGACAAAGAATACAGTCCTGCAGCAACCCCAGCCCCCACCCCAACACATGGGAATGTGCTGCGAAACCCCAGCTTAAACCCGGGTCGTAATCCTTCCTCTTAACTCAAGCAGGCTCCCAGGAGGGGCTCCTGCCTCTTCAGCTGGGCACGTTGGCCTGCCAGTGGGTAGCCCGTGAGTCAGGTTGCCCACACCCCTGTGTTGCCTGAGACCTGGCAGGAGGTGGGAATCCCCGAGGGCTTTCTTTCTCGATTGTTTCTCTTGTGTTTCTTGAGGAGAAGAGACAAAGCACCAATGTTTTCCTTTAAAGATGGGGTTTTCCAGATTGTGCTCCCTTCTCCTCATGGTATTGCTCTGTGACCACAAACCATGTCCCTTGTGGTATCCTAAAGCCATCTGGAAAACAATTATCAGTCAAATTCAGGATGTTTGTTGATTTTTGAGGGCATAGTTACATGTAGTGAAATACATTAAGTATAAAATTTAAATTTGACAAACACATGCACCTGTTACCAGCATCCCTTTCCATAAAGTCTTGGACACTTAGATGTGAATTCTGGGCTGCTCAGGTTTATTGTTTAAGAAACGCCTATTTCTATTTGACAATATCATTCACGGCTCCTGTATCCTGCATTATATTTGCTATCAGTCATGGCACTTCTTGGAGATGGGTGTTCTAGTTGCCGATGATGGTTGTGTATGTTCCTGTTTCCCTCTCTGCTTTCGATTTTGTTTTATATATTCTGAAACTCCATAGCAGGTGTGTATGTATTTAAGATTGTTCCGTCTTCTTGACTCTTCTGTTAATTTATAATAACAATTTTGGTCATATTACTCTTCTTAAATCTTACTTTGTTTTATAATTATATAGCCATATTAGCTGACTTAGGAATCCTATGCACATAGTAATTTTATCCTTTTATTTCTAATTTGCTTGTATTTTGTATAAGATGTGTGTTGTAAGCATTCTTTTATTTGGTATTACTGCTCTGTCCTGTTGAGCAATCTCTCTGATTTCATTAGAATGTTCAATTGTTCTGTAATTAATTACATTAAAATTATTGATATAGGGAAGTTAAATCTGCCATTTTGCTCTTTGCTTTTTATTTCATTTCTTTTTCTTTTGTGATTCCTGTATTCCGCCTTGTGGAAGAAATTGCTTGTTATAGATTCTGTTTGTTAACCTCTACTTGCTTTTTGGCTCCACTTTCTAGTGCTAGTGTTTGGCTGCTCTAGAGGTTACTGTGTACAGTAACTTCTTAACAAGAGTCTGCACAGCCTCCTGGTATGTGGTAAAGGATCCTCACCACACGTCAGTCCATGTACAGCTGTCCATGCTGTCTGTAGTGTGAAGATCCCTACTGCCCACACTTTACCCATCACTGCCACATTTACTTCTATGCATATTCATGTTATAAGCCACGTGATGCAATATCATACTTTTTGTTTAAAATAGTTATTTATAACATTAAGACAAGAAATGAGTATATTTTATATTTCTTTATATATTATCATTATGTGTTTACGTTTTCCTATAGATCTCAGATTCAAATTGCTATCATTTTTTTTTACCCTATATTCCTAAGGCCTCTTTCTATGGAATAAGTTCCCCTAGAATTTGTGTGTGTGTGTGTGTGTGTGTGTGTGTGTGTGTGTGTGTCTACATTCTTGGGTGCAATTTCACACACATGTGTGACAGCGGATTTCTCTGTCCACGGATGCAGGGTGATGATGGGAATTAGCGATAGGAGCAGCCTACCGGGTGGAACATGGTTACAGGGCATTGCACTCTCTCCGTGGTGTCATCTGCATCTTCCGAGTGCCGTACAGGCTGTCTAAGGAGATGAAACAACTGTGCTGAAGGCCTCCTCGAGTCTTCAACTCAGCCATCTGAAATGCTGGTTTGGGGTGTTATGCCTTATGTTCAGCTCAGTCACGTCGTTATTACTGAAATTGGTCTTCATCAACAAAACTCTGAAGTCACAGGTTAAGTCATGAGCGAGCACCCTCCCTAAAGCTGCAGAGAAGGTGGCACAGGGTTTGGCTCTTTTCTGCCACGTGAAGCACTAGTGTCACAGATATTGGGTCTTTACCATGACTACTGTGCTCCATCAACATAGCTCCGTGGCCTGCTGTCTGAAATATAACTAGCTGGAATTACTTGAAATCAGATCTCCTCCGTGTGCTGGGTCCTGTGGCTAAGTTAGGAGCTCCCCCACCCCATGCAGCAAGTCTCACATTACTGCTGCTGGACACGAGAACCGTGATTTAACAGGATCCTTACTCCAAGAGGACTCCTAGTTCCCTGAGGCCACCACGGCACACAGCAGTGATGCTTTAACACCGACATTGAAGGTTATGTCCACAATTTAGAAGTCAAGTCAGTGTGGTAAATGTCAGAGCAAAGGGCTTGGGGTTGTGTAGTAGTGTTTAATGTTCATTTCCTCACCTAACTCTTTGTGATACTACAGCATTTACTGGGGTGTCCAGACAAAGTGCCATATTTTTTATGGCAGACAATTAAATCTGTAGGGTGCCAAGGTCTCGCATGCTATTGCTAATGTTGAACAGGGACATGGATTGTTTGATATGTCAAGTGTGTCTCATGTAAAAGGTATTCCTGCCTGAACACTGGAATTGGGCACTGAGTGGGCCCCAGGTTGAGGCTGAAGTGCACAGAGGGTCTGAGCCAGGGTGCAGGAGAGTTAGGGACGTCCCTGCTCCGGTGGTGAGCTGGCACCAGCATCCTGCATTTGAAGCCTTTACACTTAGCTGAGTTTGAAACTGTTACCTGTGATAGTATCTGCCACCCTGTGTCTTTATTATGCATAATGCTTCCAAAAACTAAAACATTAAGAATGTTCTGGAATCACCTTGGATGGGAGCTATATCATCTTACGGTCCAGTCCTTCCTTCAGTTCACTGATCATCATGAACTTCATCATATACTAAAACTTTTCCTGCTCATACTGTCACTTGTTTGTACAGGAACAACCAAGTACATGTTCGACTTGTTGAGAAAGCATTTTCTGACAGCCTGTTAGGTACCCAGCACTGCACCAGGTAGTGACCATGAACATACTAGAATCATTTGCACCATTTACCTTGCATCATCTTGAGTCGTCTTGGGCCCTGAGAATGAGCCCCCTAGCCCTGCAGTCACAGCAACCACTGAGTGGCTCTGTGATGGCAGGAGGAGTGGCGCTGTGATGGCAGGATGAGACCTGTGACTTGCGGAACACCCTCAAGCCCTTAGGAGTGCAGAGAGTGTGCAGTGGTTTAGCAGCTGTTAGGTCCAGGCCCCGAGCTGGGCATGCTCCCTGTGCCCACTACATCCAGCCTCTGGACATGTTGGTGACTGGCGACCCTCATACACACAGTGAGGACACAAGGCCCTGGCTTCCCCAATCCAGTCCTCCTAATTCACACCAGTTCTGTCTCTCTGGGATGCCCACTTCTGTGCTGGACCCCTGTGGCCATCTCCCACCTGACCCAGCACACAGCAGCTTCCTTGTCCGCCTCTGTTCACTGCACTCTCTTCTTCCATGTTCAGACCCAGCGTCCTGCATCAGTAGACCTCTGTGTCCCCTCCACCCAGAGGCCTCTGTGGGCCACCACTCCAGTGCAATTGTGCCACCTGCTGCTGCTCTCTGGGCCGCGGCTCTCACAGAGCAGCTGTAGAGCTCTTTGTCCCCCTCTGAGAAGGACCTGAGCCAAACAAAGTGCCAGCCACCAACGTGACACATTTGTCCCAGGAGTACTTAAAGATCCTGGGGATTCACAAGAAAATGGCACTTGATGGCACAGTGATTGTGACCATGTGAGATTTTTATGAATGGCTCAGAATAAAAGCAACTGATTTCTGAATTAAAACATTGAAAGTTCACTTGTAAAGACTCCAAGTTCCAGAAGTTATTTTTTTATTGAGGAGATACAGGCAGAAAAAATACAAAGCTGTGTCTTTACTAAATACCTAACTTCTTAATGTGTGGTGCATAAACAAGTGCAAGGGGCCTTCAGAACAAGTTTCATGACAGTAAAGTTAATATGGATCGTTAAAAACAACGCCCTTCTCGAGCTGCCTTGCACAGTGCCAAGATGCTGTCGGTGCTACTGGAGTGTGGAACGGGGCCGCGGGGCGTCTTTCCAGCCCAGCTTCGCTGCCTGCGTTTTCTCTATAGTAACGGGGCCTGGCGCTTGCAGCCACTCCATTTCCTGTAAAATTGCACACAGCTTCAGAAATGTTTCATCACCTTGTGCCAGAGCTCCCACCAGCATTCCAGAAGCTTCCGTCATATCTCAGGTCGTACTTTGCCTGTCACTAAATGTTCCTTTGGACTCAAATGATATGAAGTAAAAAATAATTCTTTCCATT